TGTCTGTCGTTTTCTGACAATGGCATTGGAGGAGGTGGATGGGGATGGGACAACCTGTGACAAAAAGAGTAGAATACCTTTCCACAATCCAGTCTCAATTTTGTATTTCACTCCAGTTATATGTAACAGGAGATAGCTTCCTTGGCACTGTTCTAAATAGACCAAGGGTATCACATTAGGCAGCCATCCTTATTTTAGTCATACATCTTGATGTGTTTTACACCTTGAGCTCCTGCCTCCCCTCCTGTGGTTGGATATCTACTTAATTATAGGCTCTGTAGATGAATCGCAGCAAGTGACTAATGAAACAGGAAGAAAGCAGTTTGAAGGTCATCAATTTGTTGCCATTTATCTTGAGCTTGTCCTTTTTCCTCCTGCCATCATTGTCCTAAAAGAAAGAAAAGACAGCTAATTCAGGCACTCCTAAGGACTGGGCATTTTACAGATCAGGGCATTTTGAAGATCAGCTCAAAATCTAAAATAAGTGGGTGACATAAATGGTTACTTCTACTTTAGCTTTGCTTTGTCCCCTCCCCCAATAGCCTGAACTTGTAAATGTCTGGGTTTATTTAGTTATTCCAGTGAATTTTCTGTTTTTAAATGCAAAATAATATGTAATAATAATAATGATATAAAAAAACACTCAGCAAAAAACAATCTCCCCAGAATTCATCTTTTTTTTTCTTTTAAAGTCTAAGAAATTACTGACACTAGAATACATAAAAGCTCACTGAAACTAATGTTGTTGATTGTTGTTTGGGCCAGTCTGTTGATGTATAAATGAGATTTTTACATCTTTTGTTTCTTTTTGTCAAGGACTGCCGCAACTGCTTTTACATTATGTTTACTTGCAATGTTGTTGTGACATGTGGCCATAACAAGAAAAATGATTGACTGACATCTCCATGATGCTGGTCTCCTTACTTAAAATTTGAAAGGCAGGGTGGGGTGGGGGGCCCCAAACCAATATCTTGACAGTTATTCAGAACGTATTATAATTTTTTTGCCCTCCCCTCTTCATTTGTAAGCTTGAAAAAAGCCTAAGAATGTCTGTAATTTCAGTTTCAAATGGTATTTGCAACCTTGGAAGACTCAGCAGGAGTTCTAGAAAACAAAACTTCTTTGTTTGCACTAGATTGCTTTCATCATCTTGTACTCTCTGCATATCCGCTCCACCTGCTTAAGCAGCTCAGATCCCACGCTGATTCAGCTGGACTCTAAGCTGCCTTGCAAAACAAGTTGTCCAGATGGAGATGTTTGGGCCCTGAGTTGCCAGGTGAGTCTGGATTGCTGGCTACCAGATCTGTGGTCTGTGATTGTGGCTTCCCAACTTCCTGTGCCTGAAAAAAAATTGCCAGTTGCTTTCATTTCTATGGGCAGATCTTTCTGGACATATATGCCATTATATGTATGTATGTATGTATGTATGTATGTATGTATGTATGTATATCTACAAAGCTAAATTAAATGCATCTACATTAAATTAAATGCAATAATTAAAAGTTAAAGCATCAAAATGTACATATATGTAGGAACAAAAGCCAATTTTAAAATAAAATTCCTTTTTTGTAATTCCCATCTTGCCTCAATAAGGTCTGCTGCCACTTTTGATACGGATCTTTCTCAGTGGCATAGCAACATTTACTTGAACCTAGAATTTCACTGGTCTGAAGCCCCTCATGAAGTTTTTTTTCCCCAATACTTCTCCCCCCTCCAACCCTTTACTGTTTTTCTTCTTCCTTTTAAATTAGTCTAGTGGTGCACTATTTAACCGTTTTTCTAATCACTGAAGGTAGAAGGTTTCATCCCAGCTCATTTCGGCTATTTTGGTGGCTCGGGTGAAACCGTTCAATCTCAGTTGATTGGAAAACCTATGAAACAGTGGTCTGGTGGACTTATTAAAATAAGAAGAAAAAGAAAGCCCAGCTGAAAAGAAGGTAGCTCAGGAAAAGATTTTTTTTTTTTTTTATATTTCATGGGGTTTCAGATTGAGAGTGTTGCAGCAGACCTTAGTAAAGCAAAGCAGGGGAAATGAAGTGAAGGGTGTCCCCGCCTCTGCGCAATAGCCAATCAACGTGGAGGGCTTTGCCTAGAGGAAAGTAAAGCATAGCATGAAAATCAGACACAAATGCTTGAGCCAGCTGAAGCTGAAAAACACTGCTTTCAACTCAGAGCATGAAAATATGGGTGAGTTCTTATTCCCAGAGGCTGAAGGTGTAGAACAGTGTTTCTCAACCTTGTCAATTTTAAGATGTCTGGACTTCAACTCCCAGAATTACCTAGCCAGTTGCTGGGTGGGTAATTCTGGGAGTTGAAGTCCAGACATCTTAAAGTTGCCAAGGTTGAGAAACACTGGTGTAGAGGATATGATGTTCTCCATCTCTGCTCTCCAGAAATAGTTGGTAGCCTGTACTCATGACTGGGCAACCTGGTAGCATGACTGGGCAATATGCTACCTATATCTATACCAATGTGCTGCGATCTCCTTTTGGTCTCAGCAGTTGGCACGAGCTGGCTGGCCTTATCAAAGTTCAGAAGCTAAACCTTCTATAGAATCTTAGTTTTCTATGTATAGTATTCCCCAAAAGCATGTCCACATATAGTTCTTTTTAGATTTCTTTAAAATCTTTTTTTCCCCCTTAATGGTGTTTAAAGGCCTTTTCTGATCTTGTCTCAGATATTTCAGGAGAGATTACGTCTAAGTGATTATAGTTATGTGCAATTATATTTGTCCTGTTTCTAAAGTAGTAAAATTCTTCTGTCATCAGGTACAAGGAGGGCCAAAACCTTTTCTTGATTATATTATTTGCCATTCAAGCCTTTTCCAATTCAGTACATGTCAGAAGTAACTTAACTCTTTGCAAACAATCAATAGAATTGATTTGTTTAATGGTCTTTATGAACAATGGCGTCAAGCCAGACAATAAGTGATCTTTGTCTAGGAGGCTGAGAGCAACTTGTGACCTGTAACGCTGAACATGCTAAAATGCCAGCAGGACTATAAATGGAGAGATCTATTAGAATACATATATCTTGGATGAAATGACATTTTGGCTGACAAATAGCAAGAAGAGAGAAAAACTTTACAGACAGGAACTCCACTATGGGAACTATATAGTTCTAAATGTCATGGAAAACAGGTGTGTTCTGCCTGTTTTGTGCCAAAAATGTACAGCCTAAGGAAAATTCTTGGATTGATATTTCAGTGTATTTGTAGTATACAGTCATGACACCTGCTCTTAGTTTCTCACATGGAAGGGAAGGGTAATATGTCCAGAAGGACATGTGTAAAATTTTAATTCGTTAGATCACATACTTTGCAAAAGAAGACAACAAAGATGTAACTGATCAAATTAGGTGCTTTTGTAGAGCTGTGAGGTCTCTTACAAAGACTGATGTGAACCATTTTTTGTAGCAGATAAAGGAGGGAATTTAAAGCTTTAGCATATTTTTGTTACCAACGTAACACCCTGAATTCTTTGCAGATTTTGATATGGCAATGAAATACATTGTCATGTCCAGTGTGGTGCTTGGGACTGTCTAAGACCCTTCAATATTAATGTAAAACAACACTTCCAATCCACTTAATGAGTCGCTCCTATTGTATAATGTCATTTTCCAAGATTATGCATTTTATGACAATATTACCTTTTTCATAGAATAAATTTTATAAGGTAAAAAGACCGTCACTGCTTATAGTTGGGAAATTCAGTGTATCCTGTGTAAATTTGGGAAGTACTCTAATAGTCCCAGGAGAAAAAGACAATGATATGCTTTCATAGTAGGAGAACTCAGTGCAGTTATACATTGGTCTAGGGAGGAATATTTCCTTCCTGGCTAGTTGTCAGTTTATAAAGACAGTAGAACTTCCCTTGCAACTTAAATAATTGTGCTTCTGAACTGGGATCATTCCACATAATTCAAATCTCTCCCTCCCAGCCAGATTCATAGTACGTGGGAAGAGTTTTTATTGATTTTATTTATTGATCATATTTATAGTTGTCAACTTTTCTGAGCTGAAGGTCACATTTGGATTTTTGAGAGCATTTTATAGACATTCTGACAAAATGGCTGCCATGCTTGGCACGGCCAGTCACAAAACACTCATATCTGATGGTAAACTGCTAATAATCCTTCATGATCCTAGCCTCACAAGCACACTATTGTGTTGAAAACATGGATGGGAAGGGCATTAATGATTTATTTCATTTTCTTCTCATATGAAGTGAAGATGAAGGGATTTCTACTGTTTCAGAGTCTGAAGAAGCTTGGGGGTGTATTAATGGAATTAATTTGGTCAGATTTCAGTTGGTCAATTGGAGGATAAGTGCTTGACGGGCACGAAATGGAGAAATACTGTATGTGCGATTCCTGTGGGAAAACAAGAATCTATAGTTGATACCTCCTAGCCTTAACCTATAATGGGTCTTTCCCAATTAACCTTAGTGACCCTTCTTTAGGGTAAGGATGTAATAACCCATATCTGAAATCTCCCAAGGCACAGAGGAATTAGCCTGTAATTTCCCCTTCCTTTTGTTACCCCTTCCTGATGGTAGAGATACATAAATGCAAACTAACTTAGTGACCCTTCCCTGGATGTTATCTCTTTATGATACCAGACTTCCTAGTACTGTATACTGTTCCTTATAGGCATATTGTCTCTTTGTGATAACAAGATGTCACCCGACAGTCATTCATCATAATAACCTAAGTTTGCACCGGTATGACGCGCAAGGTCATAAAGAGGCTCCTAACCAATCATTATCCTTCCTTTTGACTCTGTTTTCTTGAACGTAATGTATAAAAACCCAATTTCTTTGTGTTCGGTGTGCCTCTTTTGACAGAGGCAGCCCCTTTACTGCTGCACAACAATAAAGGAAATATCTAAAGGTTTCTAGTGTCCAGTGAAGTTATTGGCAGTCATCTCCGGGCAAGAACGCTGTTTTGGGTCCAATAGCTGATTGGTTCACTCCATTCTCAGTGTTCGGAGGTTGGCAGAAGTAGAGGTCACAGTGGAAGTTGGCAGATCTGCTACAAACTACTTTGGATGGATTGGAGAGTGGAAATGCTCTGTCTTTTGAATTTTATTCCACTCACCTTAGATGCTGGGCAAGTTAGATGACACAGACAGTTCTGATCTCCACCTTAGCACTGCCACTTGGTCCTCTCTCCTTCACTTTGTACTTGCTTTTTATTTGTTCAAACCTATGTTTCAGTGTAGTAGTCATCCATCCAAACAGTACACAACCAAGCATTGCATATATTTGTAGAGCACCTACAAGAGTTTGTGGCCTGATCCTCCCTATCTGCTGTTTATATTTGTTTCAAAGGCTTAGGCTTGAGGGCAGTTGCTCCACTGACCAGCATTTGTCTACTCTGGGGACTGTTTCATTCTATTGTCTGCTGTATGAATAACTAGCAACACAAGTAACATGTTGCTAGTTATTCATACAGTGCTTCAGAGGTGCTTCAGTTCTGATACCAACTCTTACAGTGGCTATCTGGGTTTAACAATGACTGTTGACAGACAACTTGCAAAAAGTTGGCTTTTCAGAGGACTTTGGTATATTTTTTTCATCTTCTTGGTGGCTGTGAAGAGCCCAGATTCCTTTTTTACTGATCTGTTTGCTACTTTCTTAAAAATAGAGATTTTCCCCCTTGCTTTATTTGCAGTATTATTTCTGCCTTTCTGTTTCTTACTTTTTCATTTGATAATTGACAGTGTTAATTAAAACACTAATTAAATAAAGAAGGTCCTGGATCAGAAACCTTCTTCTGATTCTCAGGTATCCAGGATCAGCAAAGCAACAGGATCTTTCTTGATGATCTTCAGACATTATGAGAAACAAAACTGGGATATATTTGTGTGAAGGATTTGTAGAGGATTGTTTTAGTTCTTCAGGTTTTTTTGCTGTTTTCTCAGATCTTACTGAAACTAACAAATGGAGGTTATATTTAAGTTTCTTACAGATGATTGAATAATTTCACCCAATTACATTCCTGTGGTGGTTGCATCCTTTGCATGCTTCACTATTATGACATTTTGTTCCACATGCTAAACTCCGAACTCAGAAGTTTGATGAAACTTGTTTTATTATTTTTTTTAAAGCAGAAATCTGGGTGTCAGCAGATGAATGCACTGGATGCAATGCTGGAGGCCAGCACTATCAATGCTCGTAAGTCAACCGTAACCTTAATATCATTCTGAGAGAGTTTCTCTTTTCTTATCTATTAAAAAGTTCTTAGCATGTTTATTTGAAATGACACCTGAGGCCTGAAGTCTCTCTATTTCTCACTCCTTTTTTTCCAGACTCCCAGTCTATTCTGCACAAATCATCTTTGGAAATCTCTGGAGGCAATTTGATCCTGCAAGTCTTCAGGTTCAATTGGCAAGCTAACAGATAAGAGTGAATGCACTGCAGATTAGCATCCAGCTTTGAATTCTTATCCAGTCTTTTGGAGTTAGGCTCATCATCAGTTTTCTAAAGGGTTTCAAGTGCCATCCTTTGCGCCAATTCCCAGTCCCAAATCAATCAGTTTCAAGCCTCATTTTATATTCAACAAATGTGGAGAACCTCTCGATTGCTGACATTCTTTTCCTACTTTTTGACACTTTCCGTTCAGATTGCAACTATTTTTTTAATGAATTCTTCCAAGCACCTGGCTAGACTGGAGATAGCTGATTTATAAACAATGGCCAGATTATGGGATTCCCCCTTTTTTGCAATAAAATCCAGCATGAAATCACTTGACAAATGTACTTGTTCAGTTATCTTCATTATGATAAATTATTTTACATCAAATCACAACCAAATAGACTGAATCATGTGAGAGCTGCTTGACACTCTGAATATATTGCTTTGTTTTTAAAACCTTTTAGCAATTGGCCCATAAATATGTTGTAGCTAAGGAGTACTGCATCTTTAAGTATATTAAATGCAGTCTTCTGTGACCAAACATAATAGGATTTTTAAATGAATTTTAATTGCAGTACTTAAGAAACAACTTTTTAAACTTTCAACATGTGCAAGGCCTTTTGAAACTGACCAATTCAAATTAAACCTGGACAAATAACCGTCTTTTTTGATAGCATGGTTACAAGATTATATCACCTGTCAATGTCAAATATATGGATAAATGGGGGAAGTTTAAGTGTGTGTCTATGTAGGGCTCAGATTTAAATCCTCTCAACAGGGGATTTCAAAGAGAAAGAAATGCAATAAATCTGAGGTCGGCATAAGGTCACTGTGATTTTGTTCTGTACTTTGAGAGCTTAATATAAATATGCTTCTGGTGTAGATATAATCATGATGCTTTGATCCAGATAAATTTAACCAAGAACCAAATAAAAACAAACAAATTATAGTATAAAAAGAACACAATCAGATCTGCATTACAACTAAGTTGGTTTTCAGGGTATTCATTGAAATCATAAACTATTCATGGCAAAGCCCATATAGATGTTTGAAAACAATTTTCTGATTGGCGCAGCTAACTTATTCAAAGAAGAAAATAATCCTCCAACTCCTAAAGTAATATTTTGGATTATGGCCTGCCACAGTTACGCAGTGCTGCATTAGAAGCCTATGTGTTGGAGAGATTAAATAAGCTTGTTTGCTGATGTTTGTTTGTTTGTAGCAAGAAAGAAAATGTATAAAACCAAAGGCCAGCAATGGCAACATTTGGAAAATTTACCTTTTAGCTGTGGTATTTCTTATGTCTAATGACAGACCCAGTTTTGCCATTAAAAAAGTGAGGAAACAGATACTATGAAGGGAGACAGCCATGAGCGCTGGAAGATGATGCTATGACTGCTGTACAGGTTGGTACCTCCTTTTATAGCCTAAGCCAGTGTTGTCCAAACTTGGCCACTTTAAGATGAGTGGACTTCAACTCCCAGAATTTCCCCCCCCCCACTCCTCGGGTGGGGGTTTTTTTGGGGGTAGTTTCTATCTCTTTAAATGGCGCAGGTTTTGA